AGCAGATCATGGTGGAGAGAACGTTGGAGTGGCATGTCTTATGCTGACTGTTCATGGCACGGACAACAGAAGCTTTATTGCAGGTAAAAGTGCGCACAATCAAAGGTTTGTGACAAATTTTAAAAAATTGAAGTGCTGCTTAACACAACTGTAAAAAATGTTTTAAAGATCTCATCTGACATTTAAACCACTCTTTCAGCTAACTTATAAAATAAATTTTAATGCTTCTCCATAGGACAAAAAGACGGGTGTGACCTCTGGATGGGAGTTACAAATGTTTTCTACCATGCTCTCCATTCATTGGAGGAGCGTGACTTTTTGGACATCAGCAACAGTGTGCGCTTGTTTTGCTGCCACTATGTGTTTTTGCCTTGCTATCAAGCTAACCTTGATGTTTTTTAGACAAGGATGGAACAACCACCCATTGAAAAGTGAGCAAAATCGTACTCCAAATCAGCTTTGGGAAGTGGGACAGATGGTACGCCCAGTTGTTGAACCGGAGGTAATTACAAAAAATAATAATAATTACAATTTTGGAATGACGTCTGCTAAAATGTGTTCAATCAAATCTACCATCTTCTTATGTGCTGGTACCTTTTAAAAAGGTAACAAAGATCCCCAGATTGACTGGGAAGACAGTAGTCTTGATCCTGATCCACATGCTGAGCTGCAGGTACCCCAGCTGGACAGCCCACTCACAGATGACTAGATGGAGCAGCTGCAGGAGCACATCGACTCGTTACGGTCTTCAGACTCTTTCGGCATGAACATTTACCTGTGCACTGTGCAGTATGTGCAAACATTACAGGAGACAAGTTAAACCAAGTGCATACTACTTTTGCCTAATAGCTGACATCAGTACAAATTTTTTCCTCTAAAGTGCTCATGTAAAATGCAGTTTCTCATGTAAACAAAACTTTTACTCATGCCTCTTTTCCATTAGTTCCATTAGTACCACTAGTTCCATTAGTACCGGTACAGCACAGTTCGACTTGGCTCAGCACGGTACAAGTTGTGTTTTCATTATATCCAACATTTTTCGTCAGGTTATCTAGACAGTTTCTTTTTTTTGTGTGTGCTGAAACATTTGCCTTCGATCCAGAAGGCTTCATCAGTCAAGGAAACACACAACAAAACTGATTCTTCCCCCAACAGCTTACTCCAAAGTGGAACAAACCAGTTCTGCTTGTGATAAGATGGTCTCTTTGGCACGCCCCTCCTCCATTGCCAGCCCTCTTCCTTGTTGACAGTC